ATTTCAGTTAACGAGTGATCTGAATTAAACTGTGGTTAATGAATCGACTGTATTACAATTTTTAAATATATTGAACCCTGATGAAAGTTATTTAAACGAAATATAATTTAATTTGTAAAATTTTTATATATTTATTCTCTGTTTTATATAGTAAGTGTGTTCCGTAAGTTATATTTATATTATGTAAGTCGCAACAAATAAATATAAATCAAAGGTCAAGTGTTCAGTCAGGATACAATTTTCCACGGAGAATTTTATTTCAATAAAATCAATGTCTGTTTCTCAGTGCCAATGTCATATTGTAAGTGTTGTTTTATTTGATTTAGTTATAAGTACCCGGTTGACCGAGCTTTGCTCGGTATTTTTCGCTCGGTTTTTTTTAATTCGTGTGTTTTGGAAATTATATTTAGATACAAATTACATACCGATGAAATACGAATAATATTTTTTGATCTTAGCGACATAATAGAAAAAACTGAACTGGTTATTTGAATAAAAAATCATGAGTGCAATTAGTTTAATTTAAATTTTCGTGTTTTTAAAAAATACTAAAAAAAGTGCTCGAAAAAATAGATTTTCTCAAAAAAGAAAGGAACTTGAAAAAAAATTAAAAAAATATAAAAAGTCGGTCCGGCGATCTGGTCTCGAACCATGGTACTACGACTTTGTGACCGCCCAATATACCAATTAAGCTATTTGTAACGTTAATTAAATTTCAAAATTTACCTTCTTATTTTAACGATATTGTAGCAGTTTTTCATTGCCTAAAAACGGACTACACGGACAAAAAGACATTTTCTAAAAATAAATCCTAGCTAGGTCGATTTATTGCCCCCGAAACTCCCTGCACACAAAATTGTATGAAAGGCATAGGATAAAGTATACATATACGTTGACATCGTCTAATTTAAAACGGCACGTGCTCCCTTGTATTTTGATAGCTTTAGTCTAATTCACCGGTTTATTTATCATAAAATCTAAATCTGCGCACTGCTTCTATTGTGTATGCATGGATTTGAGCATATACTATATTTAGAGATAAAATCTACAACATGGGAGGCGCGTGCAGTTTTAAATTAGACAATCTCTGACTTATTTGTTTGAATGCATTTGCTTTAATATTTTAATTACTTTAATACTCACTAATATTGTTTTACGTACATTCTAAATATTACATAAGTTTAGTTACGCAAAACGCGATCGCTGATCACGAGGTCCCGGGTCGAGTCCCAGGTCGGGCCAAAATCTGTTATTGGGTTTTTGTCAAAAAATTCTCAATAGCAGCCCGGAGTTAGAAAGTTGGCGGTGTGTTACCTCCCCCCCCCCCCGTGCCTCGGAAAGCACGTAAAGTCGTTGGTCCTACGCCGGAACTCTCTCCGGTCGTATTGACTTATCGTTTCATCGCATTATGAGAGTGAGGGCTGTGTAAATGTGTATCTCAGTGAAATATAATTTGTGGCTGACTCACGATATGATGACGCTTTCGTTTCCTGAACCCAATCTAGACAGAGATGTGTTAATTCAATATATTTAATTTTACAATCGATTATGTCTAAATGACATTAAACATTTAACCTCTTACAATTACTTACAACTTAACATCTGAAATCTATTACTTGACTTGAGACTTCTAAATTATTGGTACAATCTTTTGACTTGCAGTTACCACGCATTCGATCCAAACGGTTGCTGCCTCGTCGATTGCTGTAAGTGGAGGAGTGGAATAAGTTGCCAACATATGTTTTTCTACACGATAACAATGTAATAGGTTTTTGTTAAGTCAGTGCACCATAACAACTTTGCTTGCATCACCACTTACCGTCAGGTGCGGCAGTAGTTAAGCGCTGGCAAATAAATAGTTAAAAAAGCAATTTGTCGCTTGTTTCAATTAAAATACGAACACGAGCTACAAAATAATAGATTATTTTTCAAAAGACCGGACTAGTTAGTCCAAAAGTCTAGTAGTTACTAGCCATTTTTCTTTCTCACACGTTGTACCAGTTCTGGCTCACTGAGTCAGAAGTGGTACAAGTACGACGTTCGTCGACTCACGATCCTAAAAAAAAGGGTTTTGGCATGCTCTGATCACGAATCTGCGATCCATTTTTGCGTAGGATGCACGGTTCAGGAGATGTGCAGATCAATTAACTTATCTAATTGATATCCGGTGAAGGCCTCCACCGTCATTACCGCTCCATTATTCTTATCTATTGTTCATTGAATACCGTCATTATCTATTATTCGTCAGCGTGTGGGTCGGCTTATGCTATTGTATTATACTCCTTTGTTCCTATCTACAACGCTAATCTGAATCATCAATAAAACACATTACCTAATTTTGTTAAAATTTTTATTTATAAAATACAAAATCTTATTACTTATTATCTATAAAATAGGAGCGAAACATCTCATCCACTAACATATCGTTGTACAATGTGTTCTCTGTAAATATACTCGTAAAACTATGCATTGAACATCCCTGAAACTTATATAGCAAATACATTAAGCAATATTCGCCACAAACTGAAGTCCACTCATTCTGAATCCTATCAACATTCCAGTTCCATCTTTTACAATTTCTTTTAAAAAAACTCTAGATGATATCGTACAGGTGCCCGTCCGAATGAATCAAAATATTGACCAACGTCATTCGTATCGATATATAAAGCTACCCAATGTGACCCTGGCTTATCATCTATATCCAAATTGCATATTATATACGTTGGTACGTGGGTGTACATGGGCAGTATATTGGCAGCATAAACATTATTTTCTAGAGTGGGGTGAATCTTTTTCAGATGTTGTATATATTGTGTAAATCTAGTGTATCCATGATATTACTGCTATTAGTAGATTATTACAGTACCAATCTACTCAATGACTAATATAGGAATGATCAATTATAGTGATTTCTATATTAAATTGCATTCTTTGTGTTATACAAAACGTATTTGAGTCATCAATACACTAAACAAGACACGACAGGAAGGACGAAGGAGTGTTGAGATAAGCAACAGAATGTAAGATAAGCTTGTTGACGCATAAAGTTACTATCAATTCTACTGCAGAAATTCTTTAGATTAGAATTATTACTCACTGGTACTATATAAGACCAAGCAACTGCAGTGAGTTAGTGTATGGTGTTTGACCGCAGTGGATCTATCAATACTACATTTGTGTTACTTCAACGCATCAAAGGCCATGGATGTAAGTGTTTATTCTATTGACAAACTTACTTTTCTTTCTGTTATTTTCTTACGTGTGTATGATTTAGTGTTCACAAATTATATTTAAATATTATGTGTGTGTATATGATTAAGCCGTGGTAGCTCAGATGGTTAGCGCAAAATGTAAATTTCACAGTACGCGACCCGAGTTCGATCCCCGCCGGCACCAATTAAATTGTTAATTGCAATTTTAAGTCCTGATTTACCACGTGCTCAGCGGTGAAGGAAAACATCGTGAGGAAACCTGCATGTCTGAGAAAATTTCGAAGGCATGTGAAGTTTGCCAACACGCATTGAGGCAGCGCAGCGAACATTTCCTAGCCCTAAAACCCTCTCAGAAATGAGAGGAGGCCTATGTTCAGCAGTGGACTTTAATAGGCTGTAACTTTAACTTTTTTAACTTTTATGATTAAGTGTTAACAAATTGATATTAACATGATAACTGTGTTGTTGCAGAAATCGTTGAGCTTCGATGAAAATACCTATAAACAGTATTACTACTCGCCACTCTCCCCTCAAGAAGAGAGTGATGACATTGTCATTAATAATAACACATGCGATGGTGGAAAAAGAAAATCGCAATCGATTGATCATTTTTTTGAAGCTGAATCAAAAATAAAAAAGAGGAAGCTGTTATCATCAACCGTAGCACGAGCCGCTAGAGATGGTGTATCATACATTTCTACTAATTCTGACGACGCAGACCAAGCGACACATCTCATCAAAATTGAAATGTACGATATGAAGAAGCTATCCAAGATACCAACTACTGATCATTGGAAACATGCTTCCACGAGGATTAAATATTACGTAAAGACTAATAAGGATAGCATCTACGACAACACAAACGCCCTCGTATACAATATTACAAAGACAATAGCAGAAAGTGAAAAAGTTAAAAAATACTTTTTTAACAATGACAGTCATTAGCTGATCATTAGTGAATGTGATTCTGTTTACTTAAATTACAGGAAGACAAGAGCAGAAGAAAGAGATGAGTGTGGCATACGTGTACAGAACACATCATTGAAGAACAAAACTACAACACTGAGTGGAGATGAAAACGAGAAGAATATGCAGTACTCAAGAGCTGAATATCCATTCTTCAGTTCAAAATCTAGTCGGTTGCTCCGTTTCGAAAACTGGCCTCTCGTTATGCGACAGAAACCTGAAGATCTTGCAGAAGCTGGTTTCTTTTATACTGGCCATGCAGACAGGACCAAGTGTTTCCATTGTGGTGGTGGCTTAAAAGATTGGGAAGATGATGATGATCCTTGGCAGCAGCATGTTCAGTGGTTTAGTCAGTGTGCTTATGTAAAATTTAAACTCGAACAGAATTTTGTATTAGATTAAATAGAATATTTATAAAGAAATAACAAATAATATATTGCATACAATTTGTTTTATTTAATTTTATAACGTTTCACATAGTTACATACACACAAAATGCATTACACATAACTCATAAAATCTAACACACAACATATATTATAACCTTAACTACTATAGTCTACAGTAACATTTCTGGTTTTATCTATCTCAATAATATTATCAAACTCAGCATAAGCTATACAGTTAATTGTTTGTATTAGTGAGGATTCAAATCGTACTTCTAATCTTACACTACCATGCTTTATGAGATTCCAATGAGCTGATGAGTTGGCTGATAAATCAGGAGTTAAGTCAAATAATAATAATAATAATAATAATAATAATACCTTTGCGAGACGGACTCGATTCTTTTTGGCGCCGCAGTGGCAGTTTGCCGTATTATTGGCGCCAAACTACCCATGGCTGGACGCGCTACTACACAAAGTAACGCCATCCCAGCCTGGAGGAAAAGAATCGAGGACCGTATCGCAAAGGCAAAGGGCCCTTATCGGCAGACTGACAAGCTTCAGGTCGGGTAATAATAGACCGAGGATTATGCGCACCGTTAGGATGGCGTTTGCTGGGACAAATATCAGTTTGTCCCAGCCGGATATCACGCAGAAACTAACGGAGCGCATAGACGACCTGAAGCAAAAGATCGCTGCTTGGGGGAAGCGGATTCGACGATTTTCCGAGGGGTCAAGGCGGTTCAACCAGAATCGTCTCTTCCAGAGTGATCAGAAGAGGCTCTATAAATTATTGGAGCGACCAAAGGTATGTGGAGCGGGCCAAGGACCGGATCAGGCTGACATTATCGCATTCTGGCGTGGCCTGTGGTCAGAGCCCGTAAACCACAGTGAGGGCCCTTGGATGGAAGTTGTGGCGAGCCAGGGTGCGAGTGTTACGCCTATGGACCCCATCACCATAACGCCAGAAGACGTGGCTGAGGCGGTCCGTAGGGCCCCGAACTGGAAAAGTCCGGGGCTCGACGGGCTGCATCATTACTGGCTGAAGGGGTTCGTAGTGTGTCACGCTGTGCTCGCCCGACAGTTTCAAGAGGCTCTCGACCAGAAGTCGCTCCCGAGCCTCTTCACTACTGGGATCACTCACTTGGTTCCTAAAGATCAGGATACCACAGACCCGAGCAAATACCGCCCCATCACGTGTCTACCCACCATATATAAGACACTGACATCCATTTTGAGCGCGAGAATCACTCGTCACCTGGAGCTAAACCAGGTGATGTCACGCGCTCAAAATGGATGTCGGGGCGGTGGTCGTGGAACTAAGGAACCACTCCTCATTGACGCGGTCATAGGCAAAGTGGTGAAACGCAACCGTCGGAACTTCTCTGCCGCCTGGATAGACTACAGAAAGGCGTTCGACTCGGTGCCCCATACATGGCTAAAGAGGGTCCTCGAGCTGTACAAGATTGACTGTACAGTTAGAGACTTCCTCGAGCAGTGTATGGGGCAGTGGAGTACGATCCTTTGTCATCTGGGCGAGCGGATGACGGCTACGGAGAACCACATAAGGATAAGAAGGGGTATCTTCCAGGGCGATTGTCTGAGTCCAATCTGGTTCTGCCTCTCTCTTAACCCTCTCAGTACCTTACTGGAGGGCTCCGGGAGGGGATTTCAGCTACGGAAAGGAGGGACAAAAGTGACCCACCTTTTTTATATGGATGACCTCAAGTTATTCGCCTCCAGTTGCTCCCATCTTATGGAATTGCTAAACATCACTTGTGAATTTAGCAGTTCCATTGGAATGGAGCTGGGGACGGATAAGTGTGCGGTCCTCCATGTTGAAAGGGGAAGGGTTGCTAACTCTGAGGGCATAGACTTATCTATGCCCGTCAACTTAAGGACCCTTTCCGAGGCTGAAACATACCGATACCTGGGTATGTCACAGAACATCGGTATCGATGAGGCTGGTATGAAACAGTCAGTTTGCGACGTGTTTTATGCACGCTTGACCAAAGTGCTTAACAGCCTTTTGTCCGGTGTGAATAAAACACACGCATATAACGGCTGGGTCATGCCTGTCCTCATGTATACCTTTGGCATACTCAGGTGGACTCAGACTGAGCTTAACGCCCTGGATAGAAAAGTCCGCACTACCATGACGTCCCATAGGATGCATCATCCGAGATCGTCGGTAATGAGGCTGTACTTGCCGCGGAAGTATGGTGGTCGTGGCTTTCTGAGCGCGCTCACCATGCATAATCGCGAAGTGTGCAGTCTCCGTCATTACTTCTTGGCGAGATCGGATGATCCATTCTATAATGACGTCATTTCTAGTGATAAAGGGCTTACCCCTCTATCCTTAGCCAACGAGCAATGGCAGGACCCGGCAGTGCTTAGCATTTCCGACCGGGAGACCGTATGGAAGGCGAAGGAGCTCCACGGGAGGTACTACAGGGCTCTACATGAGCCCTTCGTAGATACAGTTGCCTCCCTCAACTGGCTACGTTTCGGTGATCTCTTCGGGGAAACCGAGGGTTTTGTCTGTGCAATACAGGATCAGGTTATTAAGACCAACAACTATCGGAGATACATCCTAAAGGATGGCACCGTCGACGTCTGTCGAGCTTGTCGCCATCCTGGTGAGTCACTTAGGCATGTCATCTCCGGTTGTTCGGCGCTTTCTAACTCTGAGTACTTGCACAGGCACAACCTAGTAGCCAGAATTCTACACCAGGAGCTCGCTCTGAAATACGGTCTCGTGGACCGGAAATTGCCGTATTACAAGTACTTGCCGGAAGCCGTGCTCGAAAATGATCGCGCCAGGCTCTATTGGGACCGGGCCATCATCACAGACAGGACTATTCTTGCGAATAAGCCTGATATTGTGCTGATGGACCGGGCACAGTCAAGGATATTTTTGGTCGACATTACCATCCCGTATGACGAGAACCTCGTGAGAGCCGAAACAGATAAGCAAACAAAATATCTGGACCTGGCTTACGAGGTGACGGACATGTGGGGTGGTCTGCCGGCCGAAATTATTCCTGTAGTCGTCTCTGCGAATGGGCTAATCCCAGTCAGCCTCTCGGGTCATCTGAGGCGACTGGGACTACGTGACGGACCGCTCCGGGTTCAAATGCAGAAGGCGGTGCTCCTTGATACTGCCCGCATCGTCCGCCGGTTTCTTTCCCTTTCCCCCTAACCCTCGGCCGTTTGGTCTCCCCTGCCGAGGGCCTCCATCTGGTTGGGCTTTTATTTATTTATGTACTTTTATATTTATTTTATTTTATTGATATTTATGTATATTTATCCTTTCATTTTCATTTATAATTATATATTTATAGAACCCAACCAGATGAGAAAACTATATAGATACCCCACACATAATAATAATAATAAGGAACGTAGGGAAGTGACGACCCCATCGCCCGCTGACGAAACAGTTAAGTGACAAAACTGCTACGTCGGTGCAGTCAGTCAGCGCCTTGCCAAGAGGTGTGAGCGCCGTGCCTCGGCAGTACTCAGGGTGCAAAGGCCCGTTTGTGCTTACGGCCGTACAATGATACAATGAAACGGTGCCGGGCCTGGGCGTCTCCCGTTAATTGGCGCCCAAAAATGGATGATGGATATGATTGGAAAACGTATAGGGCCGCTGCCTGGGGGTCGCCGGGGCGCGTCTGGAGCTGGCGCTGGACGCGGCAGCATGCGGGCCGCCAGCCGAGCGCGAGGAGCTGCAAGAACACCTAACAGCCCCCCGCATCCATCATCCCCACCAGACGGCTTGATGTCGGCAGGGTCCTCTCGGACTCGGCAAGCGGCATCCGCCGCTGGTGGAGTGCGCCGCATGCGTTGGACAAGGGATATGAACGCAAACGCATTGCGGGCGTACTATAGGGCGAAAGGGGAAGAAACTGCGGGGATAGCGTATCGGGCTCGGATGCATTGCTTTTTTGCTGAGCTGGAGCCGTCTATTCCCGTCAAGGAACAAAACCTGGCAGACCGAGTTCGGTACATCATGCGCTCGAAAATATTCGATGATGCCGAGCTCGAACGACTACGACGTGAGGCCATTCCCTCATCGAATGAATTGGCTACGGCTGGGGATGCGGCTCCTCAGGCGACAGACCAGCTGCCACGCGTAGAAGCCGCCATGGATCTTCCAGTTGTGGTTGATTCAGATGATGATGAAATGGTCTCCCACGAACTAGAGCAAATGAGGAGTATATTGGAAGAGGCGATTTTGGAAACGCGCAGCATGCCTCTCGAAAATCGACCGCGACTTCCCCGCATACCTCTAAGCAAGCGAAATCGGGCTGTCGTGAGGGCTCTTAACCCAATGCTGGTAACCTATTTGGAAGCCAGCCGGGACCTTTGCGAGACGGACTCAGTTCTTTTTGGCGCCGCAGTGGCAGCTTGCCGTATTATTGGCGCCAGACTTCCCATGGCTGGACGCGCTACTAAACAAAGTAGCGCCATCCCAGCCTGGAGAAAAAGAATTGAGGACCGTATCGCAAAGGCAAGGGCCCTTATCGGCAGACTGATAAGCTTCAGGTCGGGTAATAATAGACCGAGGGTTGTGCGCACCGTTAGAATGGCGTTTGCTGGGACAAATATCAGTTTGTCCCAGCCGGATATCACGCAGAAACTAACGGAGCGCATAGACGACCTGAAGCAAAAGATTGCTGCTTGGGGGAAGCGGATTCGCCGATTTACTGAGAGGTCAAGGCGGTTCAACCAGAATCGTCTCTTCCAGAGTGATCAGAAGAGGCTCTACAAATCATTGGAGCGACCAGAGGTATGTGGAGCGGGCCCAGGACCGGACCAGGCTAACACTGTCGCATTTTGGCGTGGCCTGTGGTCAGAGCCCGTAAACCACAGCGAGGGCCCTTGGACGGAAGTTGTGGCGAGTCAGTGTGCGAGGATTACGCCCATGGACCCCGTCATCATAACGCCGGATGACGTAGCTGAGGCGGTCCGTAGAGCCCCGAACTGGAAAAGTCCGGGACTCGACGGACTGCATCACTACTGGCTGAAGGGGTTCATGGTGTGTCACGCTGTGCTCGCCCGTCAGTTTCAAGAGGCTCTCAACCAGAAGTCGCTCCCTAGCCTCTTCACTACTGGGATCACTCATTTGGTTCCTAAAGACCAGGTTACCACAGACCCGAGCAAATACCGCCCCATTACGTGTCTACCCACCATATATAAGACACTGACATCCATTTTGAGCGCGAGAATCACTCGTCACCTGGAGCTAAATCAGGTGATGTCACGCGCTCAAAATGGATGTCGGGGCGGTGGTCGTGGAACTAAGGAACCACTCCTCATTGACGCGGTCATTGGCAAAGTGGTGAAACGCAACCGTCGGAACTTCTCCGCCGCCTGGATAGACTACAGAAAGGCATTCGACTCGGTGCCCCATACATGGCTAAAGAGAGTCCTCGAGCTGTACAAGATAGACTGTACAGTGAGAGACTTCCTCGAGCAGTGTATGGGGCAGTGGAGTACGATTCTTTGTCATCTGGGTGAGCGGATGATGGCTGCGGAGAACCACATAAGGATAAGAAGGGGTATCTTCCAGGGCGATTGTCTGAGTCCAATCTGGTTCTGCCTCTCCCTGAACCCTCTCAGTACCTTACTGGAGGGATCCGGGAGGGGATTTCAGCTTCGAAAAGGAGGGACAAAAGTGACCCACCTTTTCTATATGGATGACCTTAAGTTATTCGCCTCCAGTCGCTCCCATCTTATGGAATTGCTAAACATCACTTGTGAATTTAGCAATTCCATTAGAATGGAGCTGGGGACGGATAAGTGTGCGGTCCTCCATGTTGAGAGGGGAAGGGTTGCTAACTCTGAGGGCATAGATTTATCTATGCCCGTCAACTTAAGGACCCTTTCCGAGGCTGAAACATACCGATACCTGGGTATGTCACAGAACATCGGTATCGATGAGGCTGGTATGAAACAGTCAGTTTGCGACGTGTTTTATGCACGCTTGACCAAAGTGCTTAATAGCCTTTTGTCCGGTGTGAATAAGACACACGCATATAACGGTTGGGTCATACCTGTCCTTATGTATACCTTTGGCATACTCAGGTGGACTCAGACTGAACTTAACGCCCTGGATAGAAAAGTCCGCACTACCATGACGTCCCATAGAATGCATCATCCGAGATCGTCGGTAATGAGGCTGTACTTGCCGCGAAAGCATGGTGGGCGTGGCTTTCTGAGCGCGCTCACTATGCATAATCGTGAAGTGTGCAGCCTCCGTGATTACTTCCTGGCGAGATCGGATGATCCATTCTATAATGACGTCATTTCTAGTGATAAAGGGCTTACCCCTCTATCCTTGGCCAACGAGCAATGGCAGGACCCAGCAGTGCTTAGCATTTCCGACCGGGAGACCGTATGGAAGGAGAAGGAGCTCCACGGGAGGTACTACAGGGCTCTACATGAGCCCTTCGTAGATACAGTCGCCTCCCTCAACTGGCTACGTTTCGGTGACCTCTTCGGGGGAAACCGAGGGTTTTGTCTGTGCAATACAGGATCAGGTTATTAAGACCAACAACTATCGGAGATACATCCTAAAGGATGGCACCGTCGACGTCTGTCGAGCTTGTCGCCATCCCGGGGAGTCACTTAGGCATGTCATCTCCGGTTGTTCGGCGCTTTCTAACTCTGAGTACTTGCACAGGCACAACCTAGTAGCCAGAATTCTACACCAGGAGCTCGCTCTGAAATACGGTCTCGTGGACCGGAAATTGCCGTATTACAAGTACTTGCCGGAAGCGGTGCTCGAAAATGACCGCGCCAGGCTCTACTGGGACCGGGCCATCATCACAGACAGGACTATTCTTGCAAATAAGCCTGATATTGTGCTGATGGACCGGGCACAGTCAAGGATATTTTTGGTCGACATTACCATTCCGTATGACGAGAACCTCGTGAAAGCCGAAACAGATAAGCGAACAAAATATCTGGACCTGGCTCACGAGGTGACCGACATGTGGGGTGGTTGGCCGACCGAAATTATTCCTGTAGTCGTCTCTGCGAATGGGCTAATCCCAGTCAGCCTCTCGGGTCATCTGAGGCGACTGGGACTCCGTGGCGGACCGCTCCTGGCTCAAATGCAGAAGGCAGTGGTCCTCGATACCGCCCGCATCGTCCGTCGGTTTCTTTCCCTTTCCCCCTAACCCTCGGCCGTTTGGTCTCCCCTGCCGAGGGCTTCCATCTGGTTGGATCTTTATTTATTTTTGTATTTTTTGTATTTATTTTATTTTATTGATATTTATGTATATTTATCTTTTCATTTTAATTTATAATTATATATTTATAGAACCCAACCAGATGAGAAAACTATATTGATACCCCCACATAATAATAATAATAATAATAAAATAAATACGCGTAGGGAAGTGACGACCCCATCGCCCGCTGACGTAACGGTTATGTGACAAAACCGCGACGTCAGCGCAGTCAGTCAGCACCTTGCCAAGAGGTGTTAGTGCCGTGCCTCGGCAAAAATTGAAGGTGCAAAGGCCCGCTTGTGCACATGGCCTCAACATGAAACGGCGCCGGGTCTGGGCGTCTCCCGTTACATGACGCCCACACTATGGATGATGGAATACGGAAGATCGCGCAAGGGGCCGCTGCCTGGAGGTCGCCAGGGCGCGTCTGGAGCTGGCGCTGGACGCGGCAGCATGCGAACCGCCAGCCGAGCGCGAGGTGCTGCACGACCACCCAGCAGCCCCTCGCATCCATCATCTCCACCAGCTGGCTTGGTGTCGGCAGGGTCTTCGCGGGCCCAGCAATCGGCACCCGCCTCTGGTGGAGTACGCCGCATGCGTTGGACAACCCAGATGAACAGCAACGCATTGCGGGCGTATTTTAGGGCGAAAGGGGGAGAAACTGGATGTTTGGCTTATCGGGCTAGGATGCATCGTCTTTTTGCTGAGCTGGAGCCATCTTTAACCGTCACAGAGCAAAACCTGGCAGACCGAGTTCGGTATATCTTGCGCTCAAATATATTTGATGTCGCCGAACTCGAACGGCTACGACGTGAGGCTGTTCCCTCGTCGGATGAGAATGCTACGGCTGAGGATGCGGCGCCACAAATGGCAGAGCAACCCGCAAACGTGGATACCGCCGTGAATACCCCAGTTGTGGTTGATTCCAGCGATGATGGAACAGTCGCCCAGGAACTGGAATTAGAGCATATGAGGAGTACATTGGAAGAGGCGATTGTGGAAACGCGCAGTACGCCTCTCGAAAATCGACCGCGACTTCCCCGCATAGCCCTAAGCAAGCGGAATCGGGCTGTCGTGAGGGCTCTGAACCCAATGCCGGTGACCCATTTGGAAGCCAGCCGGGACCTTTGCGAGACGGACTCAATTCTTTTTGGCGCCGCGCTGGCAGTCTGCCGTATCATAGGCGCCAAGGTTTCCACGGCTGGACGCGCTACTGGCCATAGTAGCGCTATCCCAGCATGGAGAAGAAGAATTGAGGAACGTATCGCAAAGGCTAGAGCTCTCATCGGCAGACTGATATGCTTCAGATCAGGCAACAACAGGCCAAGAATTGTGCGCACCGTCAGGATGGCGTTTGCTGGGACAAATGTCAGTTTGTCCCAGCCGGATATAACGCAAAAACTGACGGAGCGCATAGATGATCTGAAGCAGAGAATCGCTGCTTGGGGAAAGCGGATTCGGCGATATACCGAGAGGTCGACACGGTTCAACCAGAATCGTCTCTTCCAGAGTGATCAGAAGAGGCTCTATGAATCATTGGAGCGACCAATGGTAAGTGGAACGGGTCCAGCACCGAATCAGGCCGACACTGTAGCATTCTGGCGCGGCCTGTGGTCAGAGCCCGTAAACCACAGCGAGGGCCCTTGGACGGAAGTTGTGGCGAGTCAGTGTGCGGGTATTACGCCCATGGACCCCGTCATCATAACGCCGGATGACGTAGTTAAGGCGGTCCGTAGGGCCCCGAACTGGAAAAGTCCGGGGCTTGACGGGCTGCATCACTACTGGCTGAAGGGGTTCATGGTGTGTCACTCTGTGCTCGCCCGACAGTTTCAAGAGGCTCTCGATCAGAAGTCGCTCCCGAGCCTCTTCACTACTGGGATCACTCATTTGGTTCCTAAAGACCAGGGTACCACAGACCCGAGCAAATACCGCCCCATCATGTGTCTACCGACCATATACAAGACACTAACATCCATTTTGAGCGCGAGAATCACTTGTCACCTGGACTCAAATCAGGTGATGTCGCGCGCTCAAAATGGATGTCGGGGCGGTGGTCGTGGAACCAAGGAACCGCTCCTCATTGACGCGGTCATTGGCAAAGTGGTGAAACGCAACCGTCGGAACTTCTCCGCCGCCTGGATAGACTACAGAAAGGCATTCGACTCGGTGCCCCATACATGGCTAAAGAGAGTCCTCGAGCTGTACAAGATAGACTGTACAGTTAGATACTTCCTCGAGCAGTGTATGGGGCAGTGGAGTACGATCCTTTGTCATCTGGGCGAGCGGATGATGGCTGCGGAGAACCACATAAGGATAAGAAGGGGTATCTTCCAGGGCGATTGTCTGAGTCCAATCTGGTTCTGCCTCTCTCTGAACCCTCTCAGTACCTTACTGGAGGGCTCCGGGAGGGGATTTCAGCTACGGAAAGGAGGGACAAAAGTGACCCACCTTTTCTATATGGATGACCTCAAGTTATTCGCCTCCAGTCGCTCCCATCTTATGGAATTGCTAAACATCACTTGTGAATTTAGCAATTCCATTGGAATGGAGCTTGGGACGGATAAGTGTGCGGTCCTCCATGTTGAAAGGGGAAGGGTTGCTAACTCTGAGGGCGTAGACTTATCTATGCCCGTCAACTTAAGGACCCTTTCCGAGGCTGAAACATACCGATACCTGGGTATGTCACAAAACATCGGTATCGATGAGACTGGTATGAAACAGTCAGTTTGCGACGTGTTTTATGCACGCTTGACCAAAGTGCTTAACAGCCTTTTGTCCGGTGTGTATAAGGCACACGCATATAACGGCTGGGTCATGCCTGTCCTCATGTATACCTTTGGCATACTCAGGTGGACTCAGACTGAACTTAACGCCCTGGGTAGAAAAGTCCGCACTACCATGACGTCCCATAGGATGCATCATCCGAGATCGTCGGTAATGAGGCTGTACTTGTCGCGGAAGCATGGTGGTCGTGGCTTCTTGAGCGCGCTCACCATGCATAATCGCGAAGTGTGCAGCCTCCGTGATTACTTCCTGGCGAGATCGGATGATCCATTCTATAAGGACGTCATTTCTTGTGATAAAGGACTTACCCCTCTATCCTTAGCCAACGAGCAATGGCAAGACCCGGCAGTGCAGAGCATTTCCGACCGGGAGACCGTATGGAAGGAGAAGGAGCTCCACGGGAGGTTCTACAAGGCTCTACATGAGCCTTTCGTAGACACAGTAGCCTCCCTCCACTGGCTACGCTTTGGTGATCTCTTCGGGGAAACCGAGGGTTTTGTCTGTGCAATACAGAATCAGGTTATTAAGACCAACAACTATCGGAGATACATCCTAAAGGATGGCACCGTCGACATCTGTCGAGCTTGTCGCCATCCCGGTGAGTCACTTAGGCATGTTATCTCCGGTTGTTCGGCGCTTTCTAACTCTGAGTACTTGCACAGGCACAACCTAGTAGCCAGAATTCTACACCAGGAGCTCGCTCCGAAATGCGGTCTCGTGGATCGGAAATTGCCGTATTACAAGTACTTACCGGAAGCCGTGCTCGAAAATGTTCGCGCCAGGCTCTATTGGGACCGGGCTGTCATCACAGACAGGACTATTCTTGCGAATAAGCCTGATATTGTGCTGATGGACCGGGCACAGTCAAGGATATTTTTGGTCGACATTACCATTCCGTATGACGAGAACCTCGTGAAAGCCGAAACAGACAAGCAAACAAAATATCTGGACCTGGCTCACGAGGTGACCGACATGTGGGGTACTCTGCCGACCGAAATTATTCCTGTAGTCGTCTCTGCAAACGGGCTAATCCCAGTCAGCCTCTCGGGTCATCTGAGGCGGCTGGGACTACGTGGCGGACCGCTCCAGGTTCAAATGCAGAAGGCGGTGCTCCTCGATACCGCCCGCATCGTCCGCCGGTTTCTTTCCCTTTCCCCTTAACCCTCGGCCGTTTGGTCTCCCCTGCCGAGGGCCTCCATCTGGTTGGGCTTTTATTTATTTATGTACTTTTATATTTATTTTATGTTATTGATATTTATGTATATTTATCTTTTCATTTTCATTTATAATTATATATTTATAGAACCCAACCAGATGAGAAAACTATATAGATACCCCATAATAATAATAATAGCGTATCGGGCTAGGATGCATCGCTTTTTTGCAGAGCTGGAGCCATCTCTATCCGTCACTGAGCAAAACCTGGCAGACCGAGTTAGGTACATCCTGCGCTCCAACATATTTGGTGACGCCGAACTCGAGCGACTACGACGTGAGGCTATTCCTTCATCGAATGGAAATGCTACGGCTGGGAATGCGGCGCCACTAGATGCGCAACAAACTGCATATGTGGATGCTGCCGTCAACATTCCATTTGTGGCTAATTCAGACGATGATGGAATAGTCTCCCACGAACTAGAGAAAATGAGGAGCATATTGGAAGAGTCGATGCTGGAAACGCGCAGCATGCCTCTCGAAAATCGACCGCGACTTCCCCGCATACCCCTTAGCAAGCGAAATCGGGCTGTCGTGCGGGCTCTTAACCCAATGCTGGTGACCTATTTGGAAGCCAGCCGGGACCTTTGCGAGACGGATTCAATTCTTTTTGGCGCCGCACTGGCAGTATGCCGTATTATTGGCGCCAAACTTCTCGTGGCTGGACGTGCTACTCAAAAAAGTAGCGCCATCCCAGCCTGGAGAAAAAGAATTGAGAACCGTATCGCAAAGGCAAGGGCCCTTATCGGCAGACTGACAAGCTTCAGGTCGGGTAATAATAGACCGAGGATTATGCGCACCGTTAGGATGGCGTTTGCTGGGACAAATATCAGTTTGTTCCAGCCGGATATCACGCAAAAACTAACGGAGCGCATAGATGACCTGAAGCAAAAAATCGCTGCTTGGGGGAAGCGGATTCGACGATTTAGCGAGAGGTCAAGGCGGTTCAACCAGAATCGTCTCTTCCAGAGTGATCAGAAGAGGCTCTATAAATCATTGGAGCGACCAGAGGTATGTGGAGCGGGCCCAGGACCGGATCAGGCTGACACTGTCGCATTTTGGCGTGGCCTGTGGTCAGAGCCCGTAAACCACAGCGAGGGCCCTTGGATGGAAGTTGTGGCGAGCCAGAGTGCAAGTGTTACGCCTATGGACCCCGTCACCATAACGCCTGAAGACGTGGCTGAGGCGGTCCGTAGGGCCCCGAACTGGAAAAGTCCGGGGCTCGACGGGCTGCATCATTACTGGCTGAAGGGGTTCGTAGTGTGTCACGCTGTGCTCGCCCGACAGTTTCAAGAGGCTCTCGATCAGAAGTCGCTCCCGAGCCTCTTCACTACTGGAATCACTCATTTGGTTCCTAAAGATCAGGATACCACAGACCCGAGCAAATACCGCCCCATCACGTGTCTACCCACCATATATAAGACACTGACATCCATTTTGAGCGCGAGAATCACTCGTCACATCACAGACAGGACTATTCTTGCGAATAAGCCTGATATTGTGCTGATGGACCGGGCACAGTCAAGGATATTTTTGGTCGACATTACCATTCCGTATGACGAGAACCTCGTGAAAGCCGAAACAGACAAGCTAACAAAATATCTGGATCTGGCTCACGAGGTGACTGACATGTGGGGTGGTCTGCCGACCGAAATTATTCCTGTAGTCGTCTCTGCAAACGGGCTAATCCCAGTCAGCCTCTCGGGTCATCTGAGGCGACTGGGACTACGTGGCGGACCGCTCCGGGCTCAAATGCAGAAGGCGGTGCTCCTCGATACCACCCGCATCGTCCGCCGATTTCTTTCCCTTTCCCCCTAACCCTCGGCCTTTTTGTATCCCCTGCCGAGGGCCTCCATCTGGTTGGGCTTTATTTATTTATGTATTTTTATATTTATTTTATGTTATTGATATTTATGTATATTTATCTTTTCATTTTCATTTATAATTATATATTTATAGAACCCAACTAGATGAGAAAACTATATAGATACCCCACAATAATAATAATAATATTCCACAACCATCACACAACGCCATCTAGTCCCAAGCTAAGCAGAGCTTGTGTTATGGGTACTAGACAACTGATAAACATACTTATATATTTCTAAATACATAAATATTATAGATAAATTACACCCAGACACAGAACAAATGATCGTGCTCATCACACAAACATTTGTCCTGGGTGGGAATCGAACCCACGACCTCCGGCATAGCAGTCAGTGTCACTAACCACTAGACAAACAGCCAATGCTAATAGACAGTAACCTTTGGCATACTGTTCACAAGAGATTCCATTTCCTTCATTAAGAAAGTGAATACCAGTTCCCGAGAATAGAGTATGATATGCTGATGTAAATATACTATTATTAAAAGATGGTTGCAAAGCTTTTGAAGGTATTTGTTGACCATCAATATATAAGATGAAAGAATTAATACCATAGTTTTCAAAGTTAAATGGATTTTTAGTAAGGGAACCAATAAATGCAGAATCGTTCACAAATCCAATTATACATCTTTTGGGTACAGGCCCTAAAAATATATTATCAAGAGTTTTTCCTTGAACACCCGATGGAATTGTTAAAACTTTCACTTCAGCTCGAGTAATAGGATATTTAGCAGTGGTAGAAGCTAAAACTTTTTGATGTGCGAGTAATACACTTGGATTAATTCGTGCTCGTCGAACAATAAGAGTTGCGTCCGTAATGCAAACTTTAAACTTTACATCGTTTGACCCAGCAATTAAATTAAAGCTCTCTCTCGATCGAACCAATTTAACACTCATTTCAACACCATTTATTAAAAATTTATCTTGGTTGAAAATGTCACCGTGAAGATGACCAATCATTTCTATTTCCTTACTTTCACTAATCAATTCCTGTCTTTTAACAAATCCTATGTTTTTACCATCCGTAGAATCCATTTTTCCTGCTGTATCATCATACCAAAGACTACAAGTAAGATGAGATTTTTTAGCAGCGGGAGCATAGTTTAAAAGGGTTTCCATGTATGCTCGATATGCATAGGTATTATTAGGTGGTGATACAAGTTTTTGGTTCAAATAAACATCAAGTTGACTAAAAAGTGAATGCAGCCAATTATTTACAGGTGCTACTATTGTAGTAGATATCAAGTTAGTTGAATCTTGATTTAATACTTTTGCCTTTATGTGGAGTAATGTATGAGACAAATCTATGTAGTCATCGCCTGTCCCAGGAACTTGAAACTCGATAGGTCCATCATCACCAAGAGATGAAATTGGTTTATAATGAATCCACAATCCATTTTCAATGCTAGTTTGTGTAGACGGTAGTGCAAACAAATCCAATTCTGACTTAACGCACTCGCAAGAATGATTATGAAGGAAAGACATATTTAATTTGAAAATATATCTTTGTTATTTTTTGGCTTTAGACCAAGTTTTTTCGCAGCTTTCACTTTAGCAGTTAATGGTGGAATGAACGAGGTCAATCGTTTTCTTTTAGTTTTATACCCAGATCCTGTCATGTTAAATTGATCAATTTTCTCATCAGCCTTTCGTTTTAAATTCGTACTAACTTGCTTTAGACGATCTTTTATTGAGGCTTCCATAGGACGCGCTTGAACCATATCCGTTAAAAGTCCTACTCCAGTGCTCAATGCCTCCTTACCAATCACTCGAGCACCACTTGAAAGTAAAGGTTAAACTGATCTAAATAACCCCCCCTAAGAAGCTCCCAATACCATGACCGCGTTGGTATGGTGCACCCTTATAAATTACTCCAACTCCTGACCCAGCATGATGTGTATAATAATTTTCATATGGACATTTATGATGATCACGAAGAGAATTCATTATTATAATTTTCGGAAATGTAGTTTAATACACACGGTTTCAAACTGGAATGGTATTTTTTGTCTTGTGCTCGATCTTATAACTATTTCCAGGGTATCGAACTCTCTTCGCATAACAGGTAAGTAGTGAGGTTGAGAGAAAACGTGCATTTTATTTGCACCATAAATGTATTTTGTAGGATCTAATGAAATGACTCTTAGTAAAGGAGACAAAACATCACCCACAATCTGAGGATCGATAATGTCGCAATATAGAAAGAGTTGAGATGGTAACCCTAAGTGTAAATTAGCAGGACACTTTCCAAAATTTCTCTCTAGGAGATTTTTATTTGGTTCATAACCTAGTTGTAAACTTAATTTGGGTGATAATGTTACGGATGTTATATTTTTATCCAAAACAGAAATAGACACAAATGTTGTTATTTCATCATAGCGAAATTTCAAGTTCTCACCGATACCATTTAACACTCTTAAAATATGCTCAACGTTATCATAGTTGGTAGCTGGAATATGTTTTTTGTAGTACACTGTGGATGGTTTATCTTCATTAGGCATTAACATAGATTTTTTAATGTATATAACATTTTCATGATCTTGGACAGTAAACATGCTACATGGATATTGAAACTCGACAACTCCAACCAACTATTCACTCACATCTCTAATTTAATAGCTTTCGGTAATTTCGTTGAAAAATTTGTGGTCTTGTTATCAGGAAAGTATTCCATTGAACTATTGCTGAGCAAAGTTAAATAAAAACTTTCTTTATTCATATTTCTTTTAAACTAGAAGCTAAAATCCAACTGTTAAATTTATCTGGATAACCTTTCCACTTCACTAATACTTCTTTTCTGTTACCTGAGTAACGAGTGTCAATTATTTTATCTATTTTATATTGTGAGGTGGGGTTGTAAGTGATTTTCTGTAATTCTCTTTCATAAAAAGTACCAACTATTGGTTCATTTTGTAAATCTGTTATTGTATAAACAACCCATGGAGATCTATCAATTATTGAAGATATAATAAATATTTCATCACTCCAATTTGATTCATATCCTTTTTGGAAAACATGTTTATATTTAGTTATTCGAACATAAACACCCACATTGAAATTTGGTTAAGGATTTTCTAAAAAAGTTTGTTTGACCGTCTATCATAAAGATTAGTCCAAACTGTCATAATATTGTTGGAATTTACATCACATGGGCACATCTTAATACTGGAGTGAAAGCTGTGATTATAAGAGTATATTAATTCTTGTAAAACATCTATATATCTATAAGTATTATTATGAGTGAAATAACGCCACATTTTCATTTTTAGTGTTCTTTGAAATCGTTCAACACTACTGGCCTTAATGTCAGGATTGTTAGTGGTACAATAATTAATCTTTTTGGATTTAAAGCATTTTTGTACATCTTTTGAAACAAATTCTGTACCTTTATCAGATGGTATGTGAGTAGGTGTTAAATTACTTTCAGTAAATATACTTTCAAAACATTCTTTAGTTGTTTCTGAGTTTTTCTTTTTCATTGCTCTTGCAAAAGCATATTTACTAAATACATCAATAACACAAAGTATATACTTGAAACCATCATTATATTGAGAATAAGTTCGCATATCACTTAAATCGGCTTGCCACAGTTCATTAATATTTGATAGAATGTACCTATTACGCGGGAATTTTTTTCGAATGGTTTATGTAATGTGTATGTTTGTTGTGATTTTAACCATTCCTTTACTTGCTTTTTATTCATTTTACCCTTCATGGCTTTTGTTAATTTATCAATACTACCAAAACCAGCGGGATTAGATGGATCATAATAAATCCTGTTAATTTCTTCTAGTACGGGGTCCATTTTTCCCACTCAAGCCTTTTACGTATTTTAGTTGTAGACTTTTTATCTCTACTGCTCGGTGTAGAGAACTCTTGAAATTCAATCTCAGAGGGTTTGTTCAGATCTTTTGCTTGAAGTTGGTTAATAAACTCACATCTTTTTGGATTTCCAATATAAGTGTGGTACTTTAATATCTTTTAATGCTTCAGCAAATCTATCCCACCCTACTGGATCACTTCTTTTTAAGGGTCTTAGTGAATCATTTATTAAATCAACAATACTTATCTTCCTTCAACAATACCTTCCTTCATCTTCCTTTATACTGTACCTTCATTATCCCAATGTATTTTAACTTTACTTGTTTCAACTAAGTTTAATAATAACTGTCCTTTTTTATTATAAGTTTTTGGTATTAAACTGAGTATTTGAGCTGGTGGGTAAAGTGGATTTTCAACATTTTCTTTACCTTTAATGGATCGATTCTCCTCCAACAAAGATTCAGCATCAACTGAAGTTTTTAGATCTCTATCTTTATTTTTAAAACCAATTTTAGACTCGTTTGAATCTTCATTAGATGTATCAGAATAAATTGGTAATCTGAGTGGTTGAAGATCCTGTTCGGTAAAATGAAGGTATCTTTGCAGTGTTTGTAAATATAACATCCATTTCTTTCGGTCTTCCGTCTTACTATTCATAATATTTTGCATTTCAATATCTAATCGAGATAAACTACTATTAACCTTATTTTCTTGTTTTAATTTTTCAATCAATCCAGGTTCGATAAGTATCATTTTCTTTGCATTTTCCATGTTAACTGGCTAGTCCACTCACTAATCCACTCAATATTGCACCTAATATTATTGGTAAGAAAGCCCCTCCTTTTTGTATAATTATATTTTTTCTTAGTTTATGTTTACACTTACGCACTAGTTGACGGAGTATATTTTTGTGTTTATTCAATTTTTGTTTATCTTGATCTTTAAGAGGTACTTTTCCTTGTAAAACGTTATGAATACACTCACAAATACAATTAATTTCTTCTTCATCACACGTTTTAAGTAATGCTCTTTGTTATTTTGGTTTAACCTATCACTCACTGCGCCCGCCATAACAAAAAACAGCTTTGTACCGAGGCGTCCGTCGTCACCTCAGCTGGCGGCACTTGTTTTAAATATTTATGCTTCTCACGACCTTTTATTTATGTTTAAAGAGGTTTTAGTTACAGTTATTTAAAGCCGATAAGATTTTCGATAAGTAGAAACAATAACCATAACATATAAATGTTTATTTTATTTTTTACAGCTCTTTGTTTCTAACGGATCTTGATAAAGTGTACTTACTGACGATAAATTTTATTTTATGAATGAAATATCGTAAGTTTTTATTTCATTTTTATGTCCTTACAATCAATACAACATATTTTTCCTAAATAAATCGAAATTATGCATGTAATAATTATAATAATTCTACTTTTTTACTTGCAAACATTTGCTATAAATTCGACAATAGACAGTTTGCGCGCGCTTACTAAACTCATTTTCAAAACCTTTTTGTGTATATATTTTATATCGTCTTCCTTTATTTTTCTTATACAATCATATAGATATAACAAGCAATTACTAGTAAAAGTATTTACTATGGTATTCCAATAAAAATTATACTATTATTTCTTTGAATCTTATTAGAATCTTGTGAATTTTTTATTTCTACTGTTTTATCAATTGAAACAAAAAACTACTGTTTGTATTATAGATAAATATTTTAAGTTTTTAAAGAAAATCCAACTAACCCACATTACGCAACCAACCGCACCGGCACGCAAAAGCGAATGGCTGTTATATTTGATGATGTCTACGTACCCGAGTGAATATAATGCTACAGAATATTCTTTAGTTCGTTCAGAATCGAGTGAAATAGTGCTCAATCGAAAATATACTGTATTTTTATATCAATTAATGACGAAAATAGCAGCACGTAATGCGGACATGTATACATGTCCTCTGTACTTAGCGGTCACAAAACTTGGACCTGTCAACACGTCCACGGTATCTTAGGGGGCGTATGCAAAGCGTTTAGCAAATGTTTATGCGTTGTGAGTCGATGATGCATCATTTAGTAATGATTTGAAATGTTTGATTCTTGGTGTATTTAAACTCTTTTGTGGGGACGTAGACTGTACAGAAACCATTAAATGGGAAGACATTCGTCTTGATACGACAAAAATCATTGGTATTCTGTTATATTTCATTTAATATCCATGCGCCTCTAGAATTGCATCCGTGTAGGCGTCTTCAATGAATTTTGGGTTATCTGGTGACACTTGTCGTGCTAAATATCTTATTTAAGTTTTGGGGTTAAAATATATTATATAACTTGAGTTTAAGGATATGTCTCTTTGCCCTTTACCCTGATGAAATAAATTTTGTGTTAAATAAAATACACTAAGATTCCTGTGATGACTACTTTTTGTAAATATATCCACAATTCTTTCATCGGACTCTCTCATTAGATCATTAATAATAACAAGATGTGGGTTTTCACCATCAAACATATTAACATTTGGAATTCCTTGATGGTAGTTAACATTTGGTAAATTATATAAAGGTTGCATTGCATCAAAGCACCATGTGATCTGATTAAAATCACAATTACATATTTCTGTAACTGATTTTATGAAATTTGTTACAAAATTTGACTTCCCATATCCACTTGGTCCTGCCACAATAGCAGTAAACGGATGTATAAAGTGAAACATTACACACGTCTAAAGTTCTAAGGGGTGAAATAAAAAATGAAAGTGTTGGTGTTAACAATTAATATATATTGCAAAAATTATATGAAACGGAATGATCTGTATACTATTTCTAACACAATTAGTACATCATAATTTTACAATCAACTCAACTTCAAATAAATACACACACACGCAAATATAAACAACAATTAACTTAAATTATTTACAATAAAACAACGATTAAATATGTAATAAACTCTACGCCATATTATACTATTATCATTATTTTACAATCAATACAAATTTTATTTACATGCAGACATAAAATTAAAAACTATCAACACTTAACGCAGTTTATAATGACCCCAAGCTAATGTTTCAATATTATTATCTAAAATATGCCTCTTTGTGTCAGTTAATATGATAAACCAATCTTATTCAATTTTTGTGTAAAAATTGTGTGTTTAATTTATTTAAATCTAAGCATACTATAATATTGCACTTTTTTTTATTAAATAGAGAAGACTTATAACTATCCATGGTCATCTTTTTAGTGATACATTTATTTACCCCTTTTGCCTTGGCTATAGTCTTATTCTCAAGTTAAAAGCGTACATTTTGGATCGTAAACCCACAAATTCTTTCATGATTTTACCATTATTTTCATCTTTAAAAAAAAACTAATTTCTTTTTATTTAATTTTGGATATTTAAAAATATTATTTGTATCATAAGCTGAGGTATCAAAGTATGATGAAAGGTCAGGTTTTATATCAGAGTAAAAACCATCTGTAAATATATGATATATTAAACTATCCGTATTTGATTTGATTTTACTAAACTTTTTAACCATATAGTTATAATGAAAATCATACATTAATGTTTTTGAAATATCCAAAATGCAAAACCCTAAATAAATTGGTTTGTTATATATTAACTTTGTTTTTCGCAACTGAACCGCAACTAGGTTTTTCGGAAATACTGAAAGACTATGAAATTGTGGTTTAGCGATTAGATCTTGAGCACCTAAAGCTTTGCCCTGGTTCTCCCAGTGGGTAACTAATTTTATGTTAACCCTTTTTTCAATATTCTCCATAGTCTTACCGAAGACTGAATTATTCATTAATTTATAAAAATCTTTTTCGAAATCTGATTTTGCTAACGTTCTTAATTTTGTGTTTAGATCTATGTACATCTTCAACCAGCGAGACTGTTTAAATTTTAAAACTCTATGAATTTTAGTTAATTTAACCCCCATTTCTATGCACTGCTTTAAATTTCTGTAATGAATTACATATTTATCTTTATTATTTAAATTTGGGACTAGTTTATTTTCATTAATATTGCCTGCACAAATGTTTTCGGGGCATAAAGGAAAGTCCGAATGTAAATCATGAAGTTCATCTGGATATTCCAAATCAACTTCTAAAATAAAACCGAAGTTCAATGTCTCAGACACATTAAATTTTGTATTCGGATTTACCCATTCGAATCCACCAGTAGGAAGACATTGAGACATAGCCCAACCATATAAATTGTTGGCATCAAAATATGTGATATATGAATTTGGTTTCCCTGCATCATAATCCCCCATATATTTGTTATTAGCTCTAGCATAACGATTACTACATTGAGATACACCACCCCTGATACCTGATCTAATAAATGCAATTTTCTCATAATCTGTTAAAAGTTCTAATTCTATTTTTGTATATTTTAACATTGCATCCCAACTTAAACCGGGTACTGTGTAATAATGGGCAGGGTCTAAATCATAAGTATTAATACATAACTTTCTAAAGTTTTCAAATACATCGGTTAAAAGTAAAACGTCTGTTTTTAAATACAGGTTTGAATAATCTAGCATATTACAACACCCAAAGTGTTCCCAAACATCTTTAGCGTGATTGTAATCATCATTTGAAATATGGGAATCTGTGAGCGAGCTATAAAAAATTTTTGTTCGGGGAGCGATGTTAGGCTTAAACTATCATAATTAGTCATAAGTTCATATGGATAAACGCCTTTCCGTTTTAAACGAAGAAATCTTCATCATTAGTATAATTTCTACGTAATTCTTGAAATTGGTCATTACTGAGATTTTTGGCCAATTCTTCTAATTTACATGATAAAAACTTAAATGAATCTATGAATCTTAATATAATTTCGTGGTTATTCATTTTTAATTTTTTGGAAAAGGATATATATTTTTCTTTATTTTGAGGGATAACTTCGACTTCACCATCACAAAAGTTTAACGCGTGAACAATAAAATGAGCATCATAGTGACTAAGGTTGTGTAAAAATATTGGTATATAACGAGGTTTTCTGAACTTCGAGCTACATGATTCGTGAGCAAAACCTATAAATCTACCGGTGCACCGATCAAAATCATAAAAATGTTCTGCTAACTCTGTTTCACAAATATGACAAATGGTTTCATTTGAAAGTTGGTTTTTGTCTTCATTTGTTAGCGGAAGTGGAGGATATTTTTGAAGTCTATTTATTTCTTTGAGATTGTTAGATAAACTTTCCATAATCACTTGTGCACAGTTGGGTCCGCAATATGTTACATATTTTGATAATTTATCATCATATGAACATTTTATATAATAACCAAAACTATGTACTTCATGTTTCTGAATATTGTGTGTGAAAGGTTTGGAAGGATCGTTAGAACATGATTCTATTGGTTTTAAAAATACTTCAAAATCAGCATAAACTACGAATGGTATCTTTAACTTTTTTTCATAACTATCAAATTTAATTTTATCATTTGAAATAGGTTGACCAAACAAAATTTTTTTTTAAAGTTTCACTGTTTGGTAATTCTGTACAAATGTGGGCACAATCGTATTGTTCATGGTTATTTAAACTTTCCTGAGATGGAAAGTGAAGTAGACATGCTTCGCAAATGTACATGATGTGACCGTCTTTGAAATTTGTTTACTAACTAACCGTATACAGTTTATAAGGGGTAGGCAGAGACTACAGACTTTCATTTGGCACGATCCTGACACACCTCTCTTGCCTCCTTCACATCCATGCACCTACGCATGCATGCTCGTCGGTTAAGGGTACTCCTAATTTGGCCCGTTTTCAATAAATCGCCAATTTGGTCGATACATTTTCGCCTAGGACGTCCCTTTCCGACTCTGCCATTCACTTCTGCAACATAAATTTTCTTTGTCACTCTTTCCTCATCCATTCTTTCCACATGACCAATCCACCGAAGCATTCCTTTCTTAATCCTAGTCACAACATCATCTTGCAAACCACACTCTTCTCTTATCACACAATTTTTCACCCTGTCATTCAGATTCAGCCCTAACATACTCCTTAACGACCGCATTTCTACTGCATTTTTTCTACTCTCGTGCTTCTTCTGCCACACCCAACTTTCACTACCATACGTTAAAGTAGGGACCAACACAGCATTGTGAATTGCCATACGTGCCTTTTTTGACACGTTTTGACTCTTCACAATAGAGTGTAGGGCCCAATTTACTCTGTTTCCTGCGTTCACTCGTCGTTCTATATCCTTATCATATCTCCCATCCCTGCTAAACACGCAACCCAAATA